CCGCCAGCCGGAGGAACCCCCAGCCTGAGGAGCCGCCAGCCGGAGGAGCCCCCTCTGAGGACCCCCCAGCCGGAGGAGCCCCCAGCCCGGGCTCCCGAGCCAGCAGCCGAGGGACCCGCCCACCACGCCGAGCGGCGGTGCACGCCGCAGCCTCCCGCGCCGTTTAAACCTCCCAGGTGATTCTGACGCAGGCGCGCCGCGGAAGCCGGCCGGGAAGCCGGGGTCCCCGGAGCCGCCCCTGGCCTCAGCCCCGAGCGTCGGGATCGCGGGAGCAGCGCCCACCGCTCCTCTTGGCTCCCCGCTGCGGGGAGCTAAGGTCGCGGCCAAGCTCCCGGGCTGGGGGCAAACATCAGCCACCGCGGCCCGGCAGGCCATGCGTGTTTCCCTGTCGACCTGATCCCGCTGCCATGTAGTCGGCTCGGGCAGCGGCGGCGGCCCTTACCGGAGCGGAGGCCATGCAGGGGGCGGACGGCGCCCGGAGCCTGCGGGGGCCAGGGGTGTCAGGGATGAGGGGGGAACCCCGCGGCGGCCGGAACCGTCAGCCCCGAGTGCCGGCGCCTCCCGGTCACTACAACAACTACGGCCCAATCAAAGCCCGCGCTCCAGGCGTGGCCAGAGGAGCCCCGAGATACGGCCCGTGCTGCAGACAGCTGACGCCTTGGCCGGAGCGCGCCTCGCTCCCGCACACCGCGATGCTCGCGTGCAGGCCACGTAGCATACTCCGGGACGGTGCGGGGGAGAAGGTAGTCACCTGGAGAGACTTGTCGTGACCGTGGTGGCGAGGCGGACTTGAGCCTGTGATCGATGCAATCAGAGTTCTATTACACCTTAAAGAGACCGCGCCCAAAGCTGCTACACCTTGTGGAGACCGGAGAGGGAACTTGGCTGAGCAGACAAGCAAGGTCCTTCAACAGTGCATTCAGAAGAACTAAGTTCCTGGCGGAAGACTTGATTTTGTTGACTGTTTTTGCACGTAGTGTAGATACAAATGCTGGCAGCAAATGATGGATGAACATTTTACTCAAATGCTCACTCCATTTTTATTTATTTGCTGTTTGTTCCATTCTGATCCGTTCTTTTGCATGTGCTTTGTTAAACTCCCTCATATTTGACGTCGTCGGAAGACTTGGAAACATGCTTTTAAGTTACTAGACCACGTGGTTGCTATAATGGTTTCCATTGTAGGCTTTCTAACACATAGCATGATTTGTGCTTCTGCAACATGAGGTTCTCGATGACAGTTATAAAAGGGAGGCCACATCTAGCGCCCTTGACAACAAACGACAGCAATAAACTCTGACCTGAAGCATAAAGGACTCAGCTGAGAATTACATATGGAACAAAACTTCTTGTCAACAAAATGTCATGATAACTGGTAAGATACATGTTCTATGTAAATGAAAGGTGTCTTAATTACAGGGTCTCTAACTGGCTGTGTCGTGATTGCATTTAGTCTTAACCACTATGTAGCAATTACATAGGTAGAGACTTCAGTACAGTGTTAGTGTGACACATGGGTGGTTGTTAAATATCTGTTGGTTGTTGGAGGTTTGACTCCAAGGGCTAACTTTTGATATAAACAAAACAAACCCCAAAATGCCAACATGTTTTCCCTGCCCTTAAGAGATTGCTGTTGTAGGGCTCAGTTGTAGAGTGCTTGCCTAGCATGAGCTAAACCCTTGCTTCTACTCCCAGCACCACATCAACCCACTTGGTTTCAGTAACTATAGTACTGTTGGAGTTAGAGGCAGGGGGATTAGAAACCCAGGGCCGTCGTTGGCTACATTGTGAGTTTAGTGCCAGCCTGGGCTACATGGACTCTGTTAACCAAATAACAAAAGCAAACAAGAATGATCCCCTCCATATTCTAGCTTGAGTATTTAGTATGTTTTAGTACTTTTGATATTTTAGTATGTTTGATGTTGATTGAGGGGATCATTTGCCAAAGATGCTGGTTCAACATATAGGGGGCAGGACCTAGAGACCTACAGATATAACAGACTCCTTAGGTGCCTGCTATGGGAGGCTTGGCTTCCTGTGTACATGAAAAATGTTGCCCTAATAGAGGAAATGATGTGTTAAGAGTTTTACTGTGATAGAGGGCAGTGGTGATTGGGGATAGGTCATTTGGTTAATATGTATAAGAACATAGATTTGATCTCCAACAACCTGTGGCTTTGCCATTCTGTGGTTCACTTTTTTAAGATGTTTTGTGTTGGACATAAAATGGTGTAGCATCGTGGAAAACAGTTCTGGAAGTTACTCAGAAATTAAGCAATTTACTTATGATCCAACAAAACAGGGACTAAACACCCGCATTCACCAGAATTTATAGCACCATTATTATCTGCAGCCAAAATCTAGAAACTAGAAATAACTAAATATGTAACAGATGAATGATTAAGTAAAATATTTATACATAAAAGAAATATTATTTGGCCATAAAAGCAAGTGAAGTTTTGATAAATGCAAGCTATATGATAGTTGCAAGCAAGTAAATAAGCAACACACACACAAAACTCAACATTGTGTGATTAGATTTGCATTAGATTAGATTAGAAAAAGTAGATGATTATTTCTTGTAAATTTGATCACAGTAAAATACTCTTAATTTTAGAAACAGGAGAAATCAAGGCTTCGGAATCTCTCATAGCTATGTCTAATATTGGGCGCAGTAGATTAAAAGGAAGGAGGTGGGAGAGATTAACTCAAAAGAAATGAGGATATAAATACAAGATTTATTTCTGATTGTTTAAATACTATTTTTGAAATCTTCAATTATTACAAGTAAATGTATGTTTTGTTTTGTTTTTTGAAGATAGGCAAACCAGAAAGCCAGGAGGCAAAGCAAGTTACGAAAACATCATATTTACCACTGTAAGTTATCTCTATATCTATGGTAGATATTCTACAGCTGCTCATTGAGTTCTTTTTGTATCAGTCATTGATTGCCATAGTAATGATGTGTAACATCTGTAAGGGTCAGTATCATGCAAGACTAGACTGTTATTTAGTTCCTTTGTAGACAAGAAATACTTTAAATTAAATAGATGGAGAGATGGGCCCTAGGGTATAGCCTGCTACTTTACTAAATGTTCATGTTTTCAAATTGTCTTCTAAATATATGTGTTTATACCCTTAGGCCTGGGCTGCTCTCAGCATTGCTCAGGGAAGCGGTTTTTTGCAGTTGGCAGCACTCAACTGGTTAAAGTGCAGAGAATAAGAGTCTATAAGCGCTCAGTCCTCAACAGAACATCTCTGTCACATCCTACCCCAAGTACTGAGGAACATCGCAAAAGAAGAGCCAGAGGATAAGGATGAAGAGTGCTGTAAAATGCAATCTTCTGGCCATGACGTGGCTATTGTGCATGCTTAGCAGCCTATGTTACCCACACAGGATCGAGCTGGTCCAAATTCTAGCACAGATGTGGGCCCCGCTCTCTAGTCCCCACCCCCAAATGGAGAAGCTAACCAATAGCTGGTTTCCCATGCTCCCGTGGATGGCCCCACTTTAGACACTTAACCGCTCCTCTGATTGTAAAGTCCTGATGTCTCTTTTGTGATTGCAAGTTGTTTTATTTTTTTGTTTGTTTTGGGATAGGCCCACATTGGCCTCAAACTGCAGACTCCAGCTTCTATTTCCCAAATACTGGGATATCAGATGTGTGCCATTGCGCCTCGCCTTGGCATCGCATGTATATTGCAAATGCACAAAAGATTGTGTCTTTAGAGGCTGGCGTGATGGCTCGGAGTGTAAAGGTACTTGCTGCCAAACTTGATCGTCTGAGTGGAAGGAGAAAAGCAACCCCTTGGTTGTCCTCTGACCTCCCCATGACAGGGTCAATATCCCTGACCGTAAAAAAAAAAAAAAAAAAAAAATTGAAATTGTACACTAGCCATGGTTTCAATAAGTTTTGACCAAGATAAAAAAGTAAAATCTCCCTTACATTCATCCCACAGCCCTCATTTGTTGGTCTAAACTGTCTGTTCTGTAGCCCTTTCCATGTTTGCTTTTCTCTTCCTACTTCTTTTGCCAGTAGCAAAAGCTCATAGGTAGACACTGGGAAACACAGCCAAAGATGAAGTATTTTCTAACCTCAAACCTGAGTGAGTTCATGTAACCCATTTGCTACAGTGATTATTTGCACTTCCCTAAATCTCTATTTCAGCATTAGCATGGAAGTAGCCACAGGCAGAGTATATCATTATCTGTAAACCTACAAAGGTATCACTGGAGACTACAAAAAGGGCAAAGCAGCCTTTAGTTGGCTCTTCTGCTTGAGCCTTAAAAAGGTTTGGTTTTAGTGTGGCTTAATAGGTGAATCGTGTTCCATTTTGGCTATCCAGGCACTTAAGTGGTGCCACCTACTGTTCATTTTATTGTATGGCACTTCCATTAAACAGCTGTTTAAAGGCAATGGCACCTGTCTTCTTGATACAAATGCTCACTCAAACTGTGGGAGATTATGTAGACAGGAAAAACACAAAATAAATGCGAACCAGTAAAACACTGCCCACATTTTGTAGGCTATGAATGATTTCCTTTCATCAACATTCAGTCTCTAAATCTTACCAATTGTATCCTTATATCCATTCCTATCTTCCTATTCTGTCCTTTTGGTTTCTGCCTCAGAGATGATTAAATGCTCTGGAACTAGACAGGTTTTCATCCTCTGTTTCTTAGAGTATTTTCATAACCTAAACATGCTTTCTGACTTCAAGGCTTTCTCTTTTCTCCTTTTTTTTTTTTTTTTTTAACTGATGGCAGCTACATCAGTGCAGTGTGCTAAAAGTACAGATTCCTGAACCCACCCTCCAGAGGTTTTGATATAGAAAGTCCAGTGTGAATCCCAGGAATACGTTGTAAAGCAAGTTTCTTGAGCACTTAGAAGTTGCATTGCCATTTGGGAACTCTGTGCATGCTGGGCTATGAGTCTTTAAAAACACCTCAAACCAAGTCCATTTTTTTCCTATATGTGGTTACATATACTCTGGGGCCAGTCTATAGGCCATTGCTACCCAGGTATGAACATCCAGATTTTGACAGTTTTGCTAGGTGCTTCCTGAAGCAGAAAATGTCTGAGCCACTCGTTCCAGCTTGGATATGAAGAGACCCACCCCAGGACCCGTGTTTCTGTGAAATGATCTTCTCCCAGGCTATCACCCTATAACACATAACCTTTATCCCCTTTCCTTCATGTTTCCTTACTGTGTTATCTGTAGCTTCACCTGGCATTGTTCATGTTGCTGCATTATATCTGTACTATGTTATGTATCCACCAGCTGCCGTTGTGGTGAAGGGCCAGGAAAGACAGAGTTGTGCTGTGTTTAGTTAGAGACCATTCTGCAGAATCTCAGCCCCTGAAGAACGGTAGAGGCTCTGGAATTAGATTTTAGCATCATTGAAAGAGATAGGTTGCGGGAAATGATGAATGAGAAACCAGTCAGTACAGAATTAAATTACGTAAAGTTATGAGCAGTCCGTAGAAATCACTGGAGAGATGCAGGTACCTCTGCATTGACCATATTGTAGTTGTACAGCTGCAGACATATTGAAGGCGTTAGACTGGTCTCTGGAGATGTTCTTAGGAAAGATTTTATTGGAAAAGGGGTTTTCAGCAATCGTTTTAAAAGTCGTGCCTGTCAAGCGTTAGATCATAAAAACATGATGAATGATTACTAATGAGAAAGGAACTTCATTTAGGGATGATCATGCTCTGGAATTAGGTAGCAACTGATGAATATGCTAAAAAGACCTAGTGGGTTCTAGAAAAAAAATTTTTTTGAGATGGTTTATTTGTGTAGCTCTGGCTGTCTTGGAACTCACTCTGTAGACCAGGCTGCCATTGAACTCAGAGACTTGCCTGTCTCTGCTTCCCAAGTGTTGGGATTAAAGGCATGTACCACCATGCCCAGATTAGAATCTTCTTGACAGTTACAATAGATTTTCAGAGTTCTACCCAGTTCTATTTCAGTAGGTCTGGAATAAGACACCCAGAATTTTGCATATCTCCAAATGGAATGCTTATGCTTCAGGTGCTCTTTCACTGACAACCGGTGGGCTAAACAGAAAGTAGGGGTAAGGGAAACAGAAAAGAATAGCATTTGCCAGGACCAGGAGAAAATGGGAAGGTGGGCATTGTTTAAAGGGCATAGGATTTCTTTCAGTCTGTGGAGATTAAACCATTCTGTAGGTGGATGGTGGAGCTTGTACAGTATAACTATGCTTTATGTTACCAGACTATAACCACAGCATTGATTGAAAATGATGTATGTCTTACCATAAAAGAGGAAAGGGGAGCCAGGTAGAGCCACACACCTTTGATCTCAGCACTCGGGAGGCAGAACCAGGGAGCTTTCTGAATTCAAGTCTAGTCTGTCCACAGAGTGAGTTCCAGAACAGCCAGGGCTACCAGAGAAACACTGTCTTGGAAAACAAACAAGCAAAGAAAAAAGGAAGGAAGCTGGAGAGATGGCTAAATGATTCAACTTAAATACTCTTACAGAGGACCTGGGTTCAGTTATCAACACTCCTGTGGTAGTTCGTAGCCATCTGTAACTCCATTCCAGGGATCCAATGTCTACTGCTCATATTTGTAGGCATCAGACATACACATGATACACAGAAATACATAAACAGTCACTGTATAAAATGAAATAAACCCAGCAAGGGTGCTGAAAGAACAGAGATGATTAAGGTATTATTCATTGGATGAACTTTATTACAGCAAAGTACAAAGGAATGAGATTCTGCCCTACTGGAACAGTGCTAGGAGGAGTGTAAAGAAAAGAGAGAAAGTAACAACAAAGGGACATATTTGTGCAAGTGCAATTAGAAATGAAGCTAGAGACATAATACTTGACTGCTGTCCTTGGTCCTGAACCAATAACACCTCCCTGCAAATGGTTCTCACCTATCCTGATAAATTGGCAACATTTTGTTTGCCAATTTTTTATATTCTATTTTTAAAACCCTCCATAAAGCTTATGGTTTTAATATATTTAAACCCATTTTACTAGAGACATTATAGCTTTTTAATATTTCAGAAACAATAGAGTCAGTATTTACTTAACCAAATCTGTTTTGGTTTTCTTACATATATTTATTCATGTGTGCATGTGTGTCTGTCTGTGTGCATGTGTGCGAAAGTCAACACAATTTGAGAGAATTAGTTCTTTCCCTTGTGGGTTCCAGGGATCAAACTCAGGTTATCAGGCTTGGCAGCAAGCGCCTTTAACCTCTCAACCATCTGGTTGTACCTACTTAAAGTTTGTGTGTGTGTGTGTGTGTGTGTGTGTGTGTGTGTGTGAGAGAGAGAGAGAGAGAGAGAGAGAGAGAGACGGAGAGAGAGATGGAGAGAGAGGGAGAGAGAGAGATGGAGAGAGATGCACAGAAATTTTAGCTTCAATAGGTTTCTACTTAAGGAATCGTCTCTCTTTTTCCACTTGAAAATCATGCTTAGTTTTCTTTTCAATCCTAATAAGACAGTGCATTTTTAAGTTGTTAGTGAGGCATCACTAGGACTTTCCAAATGACTATACAGAAGACATGGGGGAACGTGGAATGGGCTGACTGGGAGGTCTTTGTGAGGAGTCACTGCTCAAGGAGGCTTCTTGGAACAACCTGCGTACTTGGGTTATGTGCCCTAGGAAGCACTGGTCCTCTAATGCTTGTCTCCAGAGTCACTGCATGACTGACTTTGCTTTCATTCTTACACCTCTTCTATGTGCACTGCTTCATTCTCTCTGATTCTACACTTATATCTTAATTCAAAAGCTTGTGCCTTCTGGCTTTAAAAAAAAATTGGCGAATTATGGACTTTTCGTCGAAGAAGATACATAAGTGGCCAATTAGTGCAGGAGACAACTTCCATCTTATCTGTTAGTGAGATGGGAATCAAAACCACAATGAGATACTACACCATACCCACTAGAGGAGTATTGATCACAGAGAGTTGATAACGAGCTGGTGGGGATATAAAAAGGCTGATGATGAGTTCTGACAAGTTGCTTCTATGGGTGTGAAATGGTATAGTAACTGTATCTACGAATGGGATGTCTAAGTCCTGTGGAAATATGCTTAACTTTTGTGGAACAGCCATAAGTCCACAGACTCTATTTCTTGACTATGAAAGCATTAAAAGATTTAAAAATCTACATGGCATATAAGTAAGGACTCCCACTTCCACATTTCTGTTTGTGACAATCAAGCACAAATGTCCATCTGGAAACACACTTGTTCATAGCAAGCACTGGAAACAACTCATGTCTTTAAACTGGTCAGTAGTAAACAAAATGAGGTTCTTGCATATAGGGGGGTACTATCTGGGAAATTAAAAAACTGAAGTACTAGTTAATACTACAATGCGAGCGAAGCTTCAGAACATCATTTTAAGAAGCTGATGGCAATATATGATTCCACCCATATGAAATGTTCAGAATAGGGAACACCACAAAGACAAAAAGTGGATTGGTGGTTGTCCCAGATGAGAGAAGGAAGGGATAGGGAGACACTTTGTCATGGCTATTCTTGGTTGTCAACTTGACTACAT